TGTTATTTAAAAGCGGAATTTATGTTACGTCTCCAAAGCTTGTGAAAACAAAAAGCATACGGTAATTCTTTTCATTTATATTGAGTCATTTATTAAGTATCTGTACTGTATATGACATGGGCCTGCCAGTTAGAACTTTCTAAAGTGGTTTACATGTGTTAAATTGTAAAAGTAGATTTTAAAAAATAATAAATAAATAAATATCCTTCTTAATATTAATAAGAATCATCATCATCACCATCATTAATATTATTATTAAAGTATCATTTTTTCATTTCTAATATATATATATATATATATATATATATATATATATATATTATTTGTTATTGTATTAAATGTGTATTAAACTAAATTTAAAAGTATTATATTTTTGGTTTAGTTAATTCACTGACTGTACGTGCAATTGTCTTCTAAACTACATCAATTAAACATTTACATGTCAAAATAGACAACCAAATATAATCAAATATTAATTAATCAAATAAAATGAGACATATTAATAACTTATGTATTTCAAAAAAGTGAAAAATATAAATATAGTGAAAATATAAATGTCTCTGGTGAATAAATAAAGTCACTATTTATTTATAAGGTTTTTTTATAATAATTGTTTGTTGTTTTCACCTTTATTGTATAGGAAACTAGAGAGTATTGACAAGAAAGCATGGGGAGCAGAAAGAGGGGAAGGATCGACATAGGACCACGAGGCGGCACAACGCACTAACCACTACACCACTGGCGCAGACATAAGGCCTTTTAAAAAATGTGTTTATTAAAGTGATACACAGGATATTAATAAGAACACAGTCTAAAAACACATGAAAAGGATGACTCTTATTTTAGTGTTGCGGTATTAAACAACTAATGACGATCATCATCGAGACACTACCATACCTGTCAACCCTCCTGTTTTTCCCCGGGATTCTCTTGTATTTTACAATACTATCCTGCTATAATCCCGTAAAGGTATTTTCCCGTATTTCTCCCGAATTTTCAGTTTTTCTCTGAACAGCCAAGCCTCGCTATACGCAGCCCATACTACCGAACCACCAGGGGTCGCCCCTTGCTCTTAAACGCGAGTCTTCTGTGCTTTTGCTTTGTTTAGGAATGAAAACACTCATAAATAAATATTAAAAACAGCGACACTCACAGTCCTTTTGATTACTGGTGCCGTCGCCCGTCCTATACAATCCTCAAAACAGTCATATATTGGTGCATGACTGTCAGCTGACGCGCTCCATACTGATAAACAGACGCTGTTTCCCAAACGGATTCTGTACACGCGATTTGAAGCGGAGAGAAAAAAGCGTAATAAATGAGAGAGTCATTCGCTGTTCTTTAATCAGAATGTGTAAGTCAGTGGAGAAACGGCTAATGAGATTGATAGCTTGATTCTATTTCATTATAATGGATATTAATTTTAATAAGCTGAACTGTTTGCTAGTGTATTCGCTGCTAATGTATATATTTATTTTTCTTTTGATAATAATAATTTTAAAACATTTTACTGACCATTTAACTGTTTATTTACAATAAAAAAGCTCATAATGAACATATTTAGTAATTATGGGACTTTTTAAGGCGGGTTGGGGGGGAGGCATATCCCTTATTATGGTGGGCATATCTCTTATTTTCACATCCCAATGTTGACAGGTATGCACTACAGAGAATCACAGAACACCTGGACGCATTACAGTAATGAATGTCCACATGCACTGAAATCATCGGAGATTCCCCCTTTCCCTTCAGCACAGCTCATTTCACATGTCTGCTCTTGTGGCTGAAATATGATCATCAAAGATCAGTGAATCAGCCATTCAGATTCATGAATGACACACACACACACACACACACACCATCAGACAGTGACATCATCCAAACACCCTGCAGTCTGTCTGCCTCCATCATCCAAACACACAGTCAACACATTCACAGAGAGAAGGAAGGGAGACTTTAACTACTGTACATGTTTTACAGTAAGAGTAACCTCAGGTTAAAGGTTATATTAGGGCTGCGCAATCATTAATAATCTAATGCATTAATCAGCAATAATCCCGCTCCCTTTCCAGCAGTTCATTTCAGTTTCACATGAAGATGAGGAAAAGCATGTACTGTAACTGGGATGTTTGCAGCATGGGATGGACCATATCACCCTGCAAGACCGGTTACTCACTGAAGCTAAGCAGGGCTGAGCCTGGTCAGTACCTGGATGGGAGACCACATGGCTGTTGGAAGTGGTGTTAGAGAGGCCAGCAGGGGGTGCTCAACCTGCGGTCTGAGTGAGTCCTAATGCCCCAGTATAGTGATGGGGACTCTATACTGTCAGTTTTTTAGATGAGAAGTTAAATTGAGGTCTTGTCTCTCGGTGGTCATTAAAAATCCCATGACACTTCTGGTAAAGAGTTGGGGTGTAACCTCTGGCCAAATTCCCTCCATCAACCCTTACCCATCATGCCCTCCCAATCATCCCCATCCACTGAATAGGCTCCATCACTGCCTCTCCACTCCACCAATAGCTGGTGTGTGGTGAAGCACTGCCGCTGTTGTCCTGTGGCTGAAGGTCGCATCATCCAAGTGGATGCTGCACACTGGTGGTGGTGCGGAGAGACCCCCCTCGTGATTGTGAAGCGCTTTAGGTGTATGGCTATTCACGATAAATGCACTATATAAATAAATGCACATTACATACATACTTTTTTTACTGATGTGTACTGCATTCATTCATGTTTTTAAAAGCGTGAACGAGAGTGCATGATGTTGTGTGTGTGCTCAGCCTCAGAG